ACTGCTTGAAGTTCAAGATGTGTTTAGAAGAGGCTGTGCCACCAGAGATAATTTTGCTGATATCAGTTGGATGTTGACTGAAAGAAGAAAATGTCAGGAGAAATATTTACTTTTGTTTTATTGACTGTGCAAAGAAATTTGACCTAGTGGATTGTAACAAACTAGGATTCACCTTGAGGATAATGGGAATTCCAGAATATTTAATTGTGTTTCTTTGAAATCTATACTTAGACCAAGAAACTGTTGTGTGAACAGAGGAAGAAAACTTTGCATCGTTTAAAATTGGGAAATATGTGCATCAGGGATGTTTCCTCTCTCCATATCTATTCACTCTGTGTGCTGAGTAAATAATTTGAGAAGCTGGACTTTAAGAAGAAGATTGTGGTATTAGGAGGGGAGGAAGGCTCATCAACTTGCACTATGCAGAAGATACAATCTTGCTTACTGAATGTAAAGAGGACCTGAAGCATTTGCTGCAGATCAAGGACTACAGCCTTCAATATGGCATTATAATGAGATTCCATCTCAATATCAAGAAAGCAAAATCTTCACCCCTGGATCAATAAGCAACATCATGATGGACTGAGAAAAGATTGAAATTTTCAAGGATTACATCTTACTTGGATCTTGGTACCAGCAGTCCGGAGATTAGGAGACAGATAGCATTGGGAAAGTCTGTTGCTAGGGATCTCCCAAAGGTTCTGAAGGACAAAGATGTCAGTCCAAAGACTAAGGTGAGCCTGATTTAGGCCATAGTCTTTCCAATTAATGTGTCTGAGAGTTAGGCATGAATAAAGATGATAGAAGAATTGACACATTTGAGTTGTGATGTTGGAGAAGAGTGCTGAATATCCTACAGACTGTGAAAAGAACAGCTATATGTTGGATAAAGTGTAACCAGAATGTTCCTTCGAGGCAAAGTTGATGAAGCCTCATCTCATATATTTCAGACACGTTGTTTAAAGAGAGGGTATTCTTTGGAAAGGAACCTCATTCTTGCAAAGATGGAGCATCAGCAAAGGAGAGGAAACCCTCAGTGAGATGGATTAATGCTGTGTGTGTGGTAATGGATTAAAATGTGTTGGGGATGAAAAGGATGGTGCGAGTTAAGCAGAGTTCATATCTATTGTTCATGGGGTCACTATGAGTTGTGCTCAACTCACTGGCACTTAACATTAACATCAAAGTTCCTATTTGTTCATAGGGTTGCTATGAGTCATAGGTGACTTGATGGCATATAATAACATTATTATCAAGGGATCTCTGCTTCATAGGGAGTTGCACTGGTATCCTAAAGGTTATTCCTTTCTAATTGTTCAAGTCCATCTACAGATCTGAATGATGGGCATTCTCCTCTCATGCAGTTTATATCCTTGGAAACCCAATGAAATGTCAGCTGTGAGTCAGTTCTGACTCAATGGCAATGAGTTATTTTGCAAATCTGATGCAAAATATATTATAAAATGTTAAAAAACAAAGCTTTCAAAAAGGAAAAAAAAGAAGCAAAGCTCTCACTTTGAAAAATAAAGTGTGCCTGACCAAAGCTTTATTTTCAATTGACATATACGTGTATGTGAAAGCTGAACAATGAATAGGCAAGACTGAAGAACTGATGATTTTGTATATAGTTTTGGCAAGAAATATTAGATACACCCTAAACTGCTACAGGAATAAACAAAGCTGCTTTGAAAAGAAGTACAACCAGAATGCTTCTTAAAAGCAAGGATGGCAAGATTTTGTGTTTAATACTTTGATCACACAACCAGGGATGGCCTCGTGGGTAAGGAGTTGTGCCGCCAACCCAAAAGCACATAGTTTGAATCGTCCACCTGCTTTGCAGAAGAAAGATGGACAGATTCCTCCCATGTGATTTATGGTCTCTGAAAATCTGCTGGAGGATCAGCTATAGGTCAGTTCTGATTAGATAGCACATAACAAAAACACAGCAACATCAGACACTGAAGGACATCATACCTGGTAAGCAGAGGGTAAGCAAAAAGAAGAGGACAGTCAATAAGACATCCTGACACAGTGACGGCAACATTGGACTCAGAGTAACGATTGTGAGGTGGTGCAGGAACTGGCAGTGTTTCTTCTGTTACACATAAGGTCACTGTAAGTTGGAATTGATTTAATGATATCTAACAACAATACTCCAAACTTTTTTCAATCTATATATGGAACTGATCATTCAGGAGGCTTGACGTTATCAACAAGAATATGACATCAGAAATGGAGGAAGATTTACCAATAATTTGCATTGTGCAGATGACACAATCTTGCTTGCTGAACAAACTTTTGCTGCAGAGGGCCAAGGACTACAGTCTCCAACATGGATTACATCTCAACATCAAGAAAACAAAGATTCTTATCACCCAGCCAATCAGCAGCATCATGATCGATGGGAAAAGATTAAGTTTGTTAATAATTTCCTCTTTCTCAAATCAACACTCTTGGTACCAGCTGTCAGGAAATCAAAAGACAAGTTGCTTTAGCAAGTCTGCTGTCAAGGACTTCTCCAGAGTACTAAAGAGCAATGATGTCAGTCTAGAGACTAAGGTTTTAGTCTTCTCAACTGATTACTTTGCATCTGAAAGCTGGGCAATGACTAAGGATAATAAAAGAGTTGATGTCTTTGAGTTGTGGTGCTGGGGGAGTATTAACCATACTATGGACAGCTAAAAGAACAAACAAGTCTGTCCTGGAGAGGAATGAGATTACCAGATTACTGAAAGATGAATGAAACCAGATTAATGAACCCAGATTACTCTGTAGAGGGCAATGATTTTGAAACTCTGTCTCACTAACTTTGGGTATGTGGCCAGAAGGGACCAGTCATTGGAAAAGGACATCATGCTCGGAAGGATAAAGGGTCCGTGCAGGAGAGCAAGACCTTGGATGGGATAAATTGACACAGTGACTGTAGCAATGGGGACAGGCGTGTCAGAGACAGTGAGGGTGGCGTAGGATAGAACAGGGCTCAGAGCTATTGTTCATAGAGTTGAAATGAGTTGTATTCGCCTTGTGGCATCTAACAACAGCAGGAGCAGGAAGCTTGGGTGGTAAGAGTTGTGCTGACAATCCAAAGGCAGATGGTTTGAATTCACTAGCTGCTCTGTGGGAGAAAGATGAGCAATAAGTTAGCTATGAGTGGGTTCCAACCTGATGACAATGAATAAGCGAGTAACAAAAGCAATTACTGTCCTCATTTTACAGATGAATGAATGAAGTTTCAAAGAAGTTAGGTAACTTGCTGAGGGTAGCACAGGTATAATGCATTAGAGCTGAGTTTTGAATGCTAGTTATCTGACCCAGAGCTCTTAACCAGACTCCCTTGAACACGTGGAATAGCTCAGGTCTCAGTGAAAGCTCTATGACTTCGAATGAAATTCCTTTTAAATAAACAAAGGAATAGGCTACTCAAACAGCATTCTCTAAATACTCTCTGGAAAGGAAGTATGTTCCCCCTCCCTCTCATATCCCCACTCAACTCAAATGGCCTGTGTGCTTCCTTTAAGTGACATGACTTATAGGCATCATAAACCCTGGCCCCATAGCCCGCTGGAGCGGAAAGTGAAGACAGTTGCCAGCGATATAAGGCTTATGAGAGCTAGATCTTCCTCAGGCCATGTCTGAGGAGTGGTCTGATAAATGTGTTGAATGTAGATGAAGATGCTGCTGTTTGCCTTTCTTTAAATGTTAGGTTCCAGACTAGAACTCCTTTCCCAGAAAGGGCATTTTATTTTTTTTTTTAAATTAATCAAAGAATCTATGTTTGACTTTTTTTGCTCACCTTCTTATCTCTAATATTAATACTGTAAATGTATATCAGTAATTATAACACGGAAAAACTGCATAGTGTTTTCCAGGGTGAGGTTTCCTCACTTTTTGGCAAGAAAATGCCTTAGAAGGGAATACTTTTAAAATGGATCTTTGGCCAAGACTTGACACTTGGTTATTCCATGACAGGAAACAGCAAATGAGGGCATTATTGTACCCCACCATGCTACAGGAAAGATACAAATGGCACTGCAAACAGAATCTTGCTAACAAAAAACTTTTCTTAATAATCAGTTTTCCTTTTAATACGAATTTATTGTTTTATGAATAAGAATTCATCCTTTCCCCATTCTCATGACTGTCTGCTTTTTTTTCTGGTGGGCTTCCATCCTATATATCCACGTCCAACTACCTTCTCGTCTATCATCTTTCCTAATTACAATCAGATTTCCCAGTTCCTGCTGGCTCTCTCATTTCCCTCCAGCAGCCTTTCCCTTTTCCTGCAGTACCATGCATATCCAGCTCTCCCCTCTCTCCCTTCCCCTCAATTCCACAATTCCTGAGGAGATCAAAGAGTGATAGTGCAGTGTGGCTGCAGCCCAGCTAAGAGACATTTCCAGCTCCCCCTCCTGGCGGGGCTGAGTTGTGGGCGTAGGGACTGAAGTTGGACTGCAGCGTCTTGCCTTCTGGGGGCAATTATGAAAGAGGTGTCTTAAGCAGCATTGTGTACACCAGAAAAAAGCAAATTCCCTTTGTGGTACTTAGTGTGGTGTCCCTCAGTCTACGTTGTCGTCACACATTCTTGAAAGCCATTGTTTACGCCGGGGTTTTGTAGGGCCGGTTGGAGTGAAGCTGACACTAGTTTTCGCGGGTACTGAGTTGACCCTAAACTCAGAGGAGAGAGGAATTATCCTCATGGGCGGGGGGCGCTCCAGAGCAAAGAAAGGGGGGGCGTTTGCAACTGGCCAATCAGGAGGCGAGGCTGAGCCAGGATTCCCCTCCTTGCTCCTTAGCTGCAACAGTGGAAAGTTGGGAGCCTCAGTCGCTGGCCGGGCCGGGAGCGCGGCGGCGGCGGCGGCAGCGGCGGGAGGACAGGCGGACTGAGCGGCGGCGCCGCAGGGCTCTCCGGCGCCCCTGGGGCGTGAACTGGGTGCTCCGCTCACACCCCCAGACACGCTCTCCTGCGCCCGCGGGCGGACAGCGGTCCGGAGCCACCCGAGGAAGCTGCGTCTAGACAAAAGCTGCCGCTTCTCTGTTTCGCAGCCCCTGGAGGGATTGGAGTTTGGTGCTTGTACACATCTGACTCTCAGCTCCGAACTTTTTTTTTTGCTAGTTCAAAGAGACTTCGAGGATCTAATGAGCTCCTCGGAGAGGAAATCCTCCGTCTGTTGAAGAAGGCTAAGCACAGTGTTCGGGAGCTCAGGGGGGAATAAACAACACAACAACCTAAAAGCTAAAACTCAAACAAACAAATAAACAAAAATGCTTTCCTTGAATATTGGCCCCACAGTATTCCTCCTTGCTCTTCTTTATTCTTGCTTAGCTCAAGATGCAAGCCCCCAGTCGGAAAGCAGGGCTGAGGAGATTCCAGAGGGGGCCTCAACTTTGGCTTTTGTATTTGATGTAACTGGTTCTATGTACGATGATTTAGTTCAGGTGATCGAAGGGGCTTCTAAAATCCTGGAGACGTCTTTGAAAAGACCTAAGAGACCTCTTTATAACTTTGCCTTGGTGCCTTTCCATGATCCAGGTAAGCAGAAATATTTACTCTTTGTACTTGTTAATTGCTTATGATTACATGATTTCTAATGCGATTAAATTGTTTTAGAGTCAGAAGTTTCTAGTTGATTTTTTTTTTTTTAAATGTGTAACTGAATACAGTTCTAACAAAGACTCGCCCTGGTATCTGAGTTTGCTCACTGATGCCTACTTAAGTCTTAGCTGGGGATTCGATGACTTGCTTTCAGGGAGCTTGTACAGTGTGTCTCCCAGATGCTGGAAGTGTCGACGACTTAAAACCAGGACCAAGTGCGAGCAGTAACACCCTAATCGGAGTTAACTGACTTCTTCAACTTTGAGTTTAAAAAATGCTTAATTAAAAAAGGCAGAGTTGGCATGGATGCTCAGCCAGCAGTACTCAGAAAGCTAACATCCACGCTGAGAGTAAGTACCGCTGTTAGAATAGCTCTCTTACAAGAAGGGGAGAAAAGACAAAACAAAACAAAAACTGTGTGTGAGACAAGAAGGAAGCTGGTAAGTAATAGCTACTAGTGAAGGAGATGAAAGCCAGAAAGAAGCCATTCATTTCTTAAGTGCATCCATTCATCTTTGTACCAGGTCATCATTAGGTTCCCGCATGGGTATAAACACAACGTGCATGTTACATCCAGGAGAAATGCATGTAATTTGGTATGTCTGTGCGCTTTAAAGGTAGTTGAAGCAAAATAAGTATTTCTGCTCTATAGCCATGGGCTCCAACTGCTCTACTGTAATATGATCCCATTCACTTTTTTTTTCTCTACTTTTCTTTAAAGTGGTACCTTTCTGTGAGGTTCCTAGGAGCCTTCATTGTCATCCCAGAGGGCTGTGTGGGAGGGGGAGCCCTGGGGCTTCCAGTCTAACATCCACCTGAGTTTTATTAGCATGTATTACTGCTGCCCAGTTGAAGAAATAAGGCGGTGGTGTCTAAAATGTCCTCCCCCACTGTTCTCCCACGTTTTTTCCTTCTTTGAAATGTGCTTTCTCCCCTAGAAGACTTTGATACAGCTTCCTCATGAATGCCTGATATTAAGACTCTCAAATTCCTTCCTTCTGCAGTTAGCAGACAACATGTAAGAGTTTATATATATATTGATAGGTATTATATGTGGCAGGCTCCAGTTGTTTCAGAAGATGTTATTGGGAGGAATTTAGAAGAAATTAGAAATTTCTGGGATTTGTTGTTGTTCTTCAAAGGACAAAAATAACCTCTCTAGCTTGTGTTGTGTGTGTGTATTCTATACTAATTAAATTTGGAATTTTTTTTATATTTGAATAAAGAATGATCATTTCTTGTCTTATTAAAATCTCATGTATTTTGATGTTTTAATTAATTATATCATGTTGCCAGTTGTAATGTAGTTCAAGCTTTTATTATTTGGACTAGCTTACAAACATTTTTTTCTATATGGATGAATCTGAAGTTAGTTTAAAAATAGAATTTTTTTTAAATGAATATCACAAACTGCTTTTCTTCTTTAAAAAAAAACAAAACAAACCCAAACCTCACAAAAACCAAACCTTTTGAAATTAAGATTCTGCAAACAGAACCTAGAAATTGCCTCAACTCATAAATGGAAACAGGACATTTATGATATTTTGAAGTGATACGAAAATTATCTGAGTGAATTGTATTGTTATGTGCTGTCTTTTCAATTGTTACCAAATAGGAAAGTGTGCATGCTTGTGGGAGTTGACTTTCCTATAGTTTAGCAATCATAATTCAAAGTGGGGGAAACTTGGCATGTTAATAGCAAATGACTAATAAATTAGAGCTTTTTTGAATTAAATTATATGAGAAAATGATTAATTTAAATTGGTTCCATAAAAATTATCTATGCATAATTTGGTAAAATATTAATTTTATTTCTATTGTGATTCTAAAGAAGAGACAAGTGGCCAAGAAGTTGTTATCTAAGACTTTTATCCCATGGATAGCCAAAAGAATAAACAAATATATCTTACAGACAGTGCAGCTAGAGTGCTCTTTGGAAGCAAGATGACGCTTCACCTCACATACTTTGGGCATGTTGCTAGGAGGGACCAGGTAAATTGATGCAGTGACTGCTGTAATGGCCTCTTCCTTGTCAGGAAGTATGAGGACAGCACAGGATAGAACAGGGTTCATATATTTTATTCATATTGTAGCTATGAGTCATACCTGACTTAAGAACACCTAACAACAACTAAACAACAAAGAATTTTTAAGAATTTTAAAAAAATTCCTAGAATGTTTCTGATGGTAAGAAGGGAAATGGAAGGGGAAAAAATTAGTCTTTTATTTCACTCTAATAGACTGTATTTTTTTGGTGAGAATCTGAAACATTGCCTCTCTTTGTCATTGAGTTTCTAATTCACTTATGGTTCTGCTTGCTCATCAGGTTGGAATGATAGAAAATACCTTGGACTCAGCATTGGCTCTTTGAATGTGAGAGACTAGAGATGTTACATATCATTCTGAATCTCAGCTTCCTCAGCTATAAGTTGAAAGAATTGGATTTGAAAATGTAAAAGAATAAAAACTAAAGAGCTTTGGTGGTGCAGTGGGTTAAGTGTTGTACTGCTAAATCTTTTAATCCCCAGCTACTTAGTGGAAGAAAAATGAAGCAGTCTGCTCCCATAAATATTTGCAAGTAAGGAACCCTATAGGGCAGTACTATTCTGTCTTATAGAGTCATTATGGGTCAGAACGGAATTTCTAGCCATGACTTTACTAATTCATGCCAATCTCATTGCAACTGTTTTATGATTTTGCATTTTTACTTTTTTTCATAGTCCCAACACAATTTCCTATGGCTGGTGATACAACTGCCACTTAAGCAAGTGTGCAGTATTTAATATGATAAGGTCAACTCAAACTCGACTCAGAGATGTCAAGTCAGAACTGATTCATAACTGACTCTCAAGCACATTTTCAGAGACTGCAGATGGCATGGGAGGAGACCATCTATCTTTCTCCCTTGGAACCACTGGTAGACTTAAACCACCAGACAGGCACCATCTTTGGGTTAGTAGTTCAACTTCCTACAGACTTTGCCACCAGAGCTCCTTGAATACTTTTCACTTTTCCAAGCCCTGTGACACTTGTTATCATATTTGTTGGTGCTATTTAGTCCTCCTGACTTGGAGCTGACTCATAGCAGACCCTTCAGCACATTTTCAGAGACAGTGAATCACACAGATGAAGATTGCTCATCTTTGCCCTTCAGAGCAGCTACTGGATTCAAACTGTTAACTAGAGGAAGTAATGAAAAATATGAGGCTTTTGACAGAAACCTTTAAGTCTTTGCAGGTGATTTATATAGACTTCTTTCTGTATTAAGACTTGGAGAAAGATGTTTATTTGGAAGTAAAGATTAGAGCAAAAATTAAAACACACATGAATCATAGATACAGGGGTGGAAGAATACCTATCAAAGTGGCAATGAGGTGCTGGAATGATTCAGAGTATGGGTATGTAGGGAATTCAGATTGTAACACCAGTAGGTGCTGAAGAAGATTGATCAGTGGTCATGAAAACTCAAATAAAATTTTTGATGCTAACTGTGCTTCAGATGGGTTTTCAACTTTCATAACCACATGCAATGAACTAATTTTTGGTATATGTTTTTACAACAGTCAAAATGTATGTACATACCAGAGGTGCGTGGTTTGAATCCCCTAGATGCTCTGCTGGAGAAGGAGGGACAATCTCCTCCTGTACTTGTCAGATCTGATTTGATGGTACACGCACAAAAAAATTAAAAAATAAAAAAAATGTATGTGAATACATTCCTCAGAACACAATTTAGAGAAGACTCATGCGCTCTTTTTTGACTTGGCTTCTTGGCCTCTCATTTTCTCTTCTCTCTGTAAACAAGGAGTAGAGACAGAAGGAAACAGAATGGGACAATGTGTCGAGCAAGTTCTTTTTTAATTTTATTTACAGATGTAAACTATTTCTTGAATATTTGCCACCAAATATTGTTAAATACGTTATCTTGCAGCATATTGCTTTCAAATTAAAATGTCAGAAACAAACACCAATATCTCCAATTCTTTTTAAGGAATGTTCTAGAATGACACATTAAGGTGTAAATTCTTTTGGCTTATAATACTTAAAAGAATGGTAATAGCAAAAGTGATGCAAAATCTTCAGTGTGAGATTATGATTAAGCTATATTTTGCAAAAATATGGTGTAAAATGGCAATAATCCCACTCACGATCCTGGATGGTCCTTTCAGGAGGGATTGATAATTTATATAGTCAAACTTTAAAATTTACAGATAAAGGCAGTACAATACTGCCAATAAGAAGGATGTTTCTTTTTTAATACTTTTTAAATTAATTTTAATGAAAATTTACGGACTTTGGATTTCCATTCATTCTTTGTTGCCTTTTTCTTCCTTCCCACCCCTCCTCCCCAGTACACTCTTCTCTTTGAAAAGTAAAAGAAAAATCCCTCCATTGTTTTACAATACTTCCTCCCAGGTCCACTCCACTATGCAGGCTTCATTCTGGACTCCTGTCATGACAATAACACCTAATCACACATCCCTTTTAAACAGTTTCCTCCCTCATCTGTTTCAATGCAGTATACATTATTTATTCCATCTTTCTCAGTCTGCCCCCAACCCCGATGTCAGTCCTGTTTTACAACAGTGGCATCATGCAGTATTTGTCTCTTTGCGACTGAGGTACTTCACTCAGCATAATGTCCTCCAGGGTCACACATTTTGAATAATATTGTATGAGTTCCTTGTTTTTCAATGCAGCATAGTATTTCATTGTGTGAATAGAGCTTCTCTATCCATTCGTTTGTTGATGGGCACTTAGGTTGTTTCCAGCTCCTTGCTATCATGAACCAAACCATGGTAAAAATGGGTGTGCATAAGAAGTAAGTCTCTTAACATATCCAACTTTCAGGCCACAGTTTTGAAGGTCTGAAGTATCAAGTTGGTATGATGAATTAGTCATTTGGCACTTACAAACACATTTATTGACTTGCCATC